GCTGGACGTGATTGCTGGCACTGCGCAGCCCCCTCTGACCATGGGTGCACTAAAGAACGAGTGGAGCAAGACAGAAAGGGCCTGGGTGTCTGCAGATGCCAGCACCAGCGCTGAACTGCCTGTCTTCGGCTTCTGAGAAAGAAACTTCTCTCGTGTTTGAGCCACGGTATTTGGAGTCTCTCTTGTCTGTAGCTGAAGCTAATCCTAACTGATAAAAGGTACTGTCAGATAACCTCGAGAAAAATAAAATGTGGCTGGAGCTTGAAAAACTAGGTGAATACAGAGCCCTAACCACACCACTCAAAGTGTGTGCTCCGAGAGGAGGTGTTTAGGTGAAGTGAACAGAAAGCATTTCACATCTTCACTCAAGCATCCTGAACCATCCGTGGTGATGCTCTTCACCCACCTGTCAACTGAACTGAAAATAGGTTCCCCTGGGGCCAGCCAAGTGGCACGTTGGTTAAGAGCTGGCTTGGGATGCCAGAGGGCCCCGGTTCGGATCCCACACATGAGGGCCAGTGACACTGCCCTCCATAGCTAAGATGCTGAACAACAGCTCAACCTGGAGCTGGGCTGCCNAAAAGAACAGCGAGAACTACAATATTGCCACAGAGACATGAAAGACAGTTCGAGGAATATAATTAATAATGTTGTAAATATTTTGTAGGGTGTCAGGTGGTCACATGTCTTGCTAGGGAGACCGCATCATGGATTGGATGGGGAAGAGGCTTGATCCCTGCACTGTACACCTGAAGCTGATGTTGTATAATATTGTATGTCAACTATAAGTGAATATATATATATAGATAGCTAGCTAGATAAATAGATAGATAGATATAGTCATGGGACGTGGAGTATAGTGTGGGAGTAGAGGCAAGGGAATTGTAATAGATACGTATGATATTGGGGGGAAGTGAGGCGGCAGATTGGGGGAGGGGGGTTGTCACTTCGAGGGGTAAAAAGTATAACTATTGCACTGTGTTGTACAGCTGAAACTCATTCTAAAAAATGTGTATTTCATAATAAAAAAAAAGAAAAGCGCGCTCTCAAAGCTGGACAGACTACCCGCAGGGCCTCTGATCACCGTTAATGCCGAGCCACTTCCTACCACACAAAAGGAAACAGAACCAATGTTACTATGTACCTTGTTTTGTACTTACTCATTCTGTGGTTCACTTGGCTGTCCAAACTGAATTTTAGAACCTCATTATTAATAGATTTTTCTGGACCCAGACGTACTAAATTTATATCTCCACAGTTTCCTGTTGATAAAAATTAGAGATTAATAAGGACACCGCAACATCTGTACATAATATCTATTTCTAAGCAAGTATTTTAACAATCAGAGAAGGGAGCTAACATGAACTGTCCATCAACTAGATTCCTGGAACTCTACTGCAGGCTTCATACACATCATTTTAGAGGTCCTTCCTAACAACCCCATAACGCAACAGAACCATTCTTACCTAACAGAAGCTAGCAAAGTCGCAGAAACACTACATTGCAGGGTTCAGATTCTATTCATGTTTCTCAAATTATATTCTGTACAAAATTCCATTGTAAAATATATTTGGGAAATGGTGAGTTAAAATAAAACAGATTTCTTATCCACAAGCTAGTTCAGATATATAGATATATATAAAGACTTTCATGTATGAATACATACTTGAATTTCAAGAACAGAATCTCACTTGACCATCAATCATTTTCTACGGGATACTCAAAACAACATTTTTGAAACTCTGCTCCACATCACACGCTACTCCAGAAATTCTGGAGTGTGGTCATTCTAAAATCTGTAAACATCATTTAACTGGCTGGTGTACTGACCACATGTTGATTTTAGGTTACCACATTTTAGTTATTATTTAATCTAAAACTCTCACTGCATTACTGGGCTAAACTATAGCAGTCATGCAGTTTATCAACACTCGTCCCTGTGGGACACGTCACAGACTTTTTTTACTATCTATTTCCTTCTACTGAATCAAAGACCCATAAGAACAGGGTTTGGTTTTGGTCACCGCCCACAACAGTGGCTGGCACACAATAATACCCCCTGAATGAACAAGTGACTTATTACAAAGTTGTCTACAACTTATTTTTGTTCCTAGTTCAGCTCCTTCTTCGCATCTGAAGCCATCTTCTTTGGCCTACATTTACTTGAAGGTTTTAAAACTGGTAACTTACTTGTCTTTTTGAAACAGGGCCCGGTTGGGACCCCCACAAAAGAGGCCTCGCCTCTCCCTGCTCTAGAGTTTAACAATGGATCAACCCCCTCCCTGTGGTTTGAGTTTGGAATGTCCCCTGTTCCAGTTCCCTGCTTTAGATAATTACCCTGAAACTTATGCTTGTTTACTGATCACCAGAATCTCTACGGCCTAGCATTCTTTCCAGGTTACTGTCATCACTGCTCCTGGGTTGATGGCCACGGTGGAGAGCCACATGGCCTGAGGGGAGGCTCCACACAGACCCCGGGAACCATCACGTGGCCTCTGGAGGAACGCCCAGATTTTCCCTTAAACACCCCAAGCTGGTCTGAGAATGTGAAGGCAGTTTTTGGAGGTGTTAACCCGCTGCCTTCTCAGACCACCGGAGCTCTGATAATAAACGCTTATTTTGTGACCCAACTCCTGCGTCAGTCTATTGGCTGAGCGGTGCAGGTTGAGCGGTGCAGGCAGCGCGAGTCCAGACTCGTTTGGCCTCCAGTTTCCTTTCCACCAGGAAGGTGGATAAGATCACCTAGAAGCTCACCCTCTATGAATACCTAGACTTGTTCCATAAACTATAACAGACAGCCTTTAAATTGCAGGGGAATTCAAAAGCATGTAAGACAAATCCCTCAGGGGCCAAAAACAGAGAAAAAGCGGAAAACCAGAGTTGAGAGCTTCGAGCTGCTGTGGCTTCTGAGGGATGGGCTGAGGGGTGAGCGAGCGCTGGTCTGTGTCGGTGCTCAGGTGTTTTTTTAAGTTACATTCAATAATAAAAAAAAGAGATTTAAAATCTTTGGTTCTACAGAGTTTTACAAATGTCTACATTGGCAAAAGTACCATTCTAATCAAGATATACAGGTTTGGTAACAGAGGCCTGGATTTAAAGCCCACTAGAAGGCAAAAGGGCCTGAAAGGGGGCGCGGGATGAAAATCCAGTGACCCTGTCTTGGCCTGGGCTTGGCTGGACAGAACAAATGCTCTTCTGGGACTGTCCAATCCCAGACCCGTGCCAAAGGTAAACTTAGAGACTAAATATATGATACAGGGAACAACAAAAGTGACTCTCAGAAATACAGCTGAGGTTTTTTTTTTGTTTTCTTTTTTAGCTGAGCCATCCTGCCATCTGTTGGCAGCTCAGCGGCAGCTCAGCTCGGGCCGTGAATCAAACCGGGGACTCTGTTGCTCAGAGCTCAAACTCTTGAGCGAGCTCTTAACCAACTGAGCCACTTGGCCGGCCCAGATGAGGTTTTTAAAATGAGAACACAATAGGGCCGGCCGAGTGGCGCGATGGTTACNTGGAGCTGGGCTGCCATGAGTCACCAGCGACGGCGTAGGCTGCAGTGGGTTGCCATGGGCTACCGTGTGTGGCCGGCAGCCAGCGTGAGTGGCCAACCAGAAGCCGGCGACTGATCTGCCTCGCCCGGGAAGAGCACAATGATGGTGCCAACTTGGACCAGTGAAGCATCGTCCTCCACAACTAGACTAAAGAACAAAAACGACAGCAACTTGTCTGTTCCCCTTCCCCCAATTCCCCAATAAAAATCTTTAAAAAAAAAAAGTTCTTTTTTTAAAGGCTAGTACCTACCATAACGCCTGTAAAACTGATAGCATTCTACTTCTATACTAAGAAAAACCACCTTTGTCTACTGCAATGCAAACAGTGGACCCTTGAACAACTCAGGGTGAGGCGTGCCCCTCCCCCTCCCAGGAATCCAAAACCCTCGTACACTGAAGTTGGCCCTCCGCATACGGAGATTCTCAATCTTGGTTCAAAAACACAAGTGTACTGTGGTCGAAGAAGATGGTGTGAATGACTTCACAGTGCAGACCATTTAGTGTTCTGCTTAATAAACTCATGTTTTCATCAGAGGTTCACTCAGCCCGTTTCTGCTCCTGGAGGTGGGACTTCTGTCCCTGTCTGTGATACATGCACCCACAGGCACCATGGCATGTGTATGGGCTCTGGGAAGACGGTGGCACCGTGGCCCTGCAGTGCTCCCACGCTGAAGTCGCCACGCGCGACGAGTTAAGTGGCCCACAGAGCAATGTGCTGAGCAGAGGAGAGCACAATACCCATGAACATGGACTTCACTGTTAAACTTGGAAAGACTGATTTTGGGCTCAGTTTAAAATTTTAATGAAAAGCTTTCCACATAGTTTTTAACTTAAGTAAACAAACTGCTAATGTGACTATGCATTAAATTCAACTATTTATTTAGCCACACAGAGAAGGCTTATAATACATTCAAGATAAAAAAATCTCATAAAAAATACTAATTACCAGCTGACATTATTGTCTCTTGTGACCTCCAACTGAAATACTGTATTATTTAAAATGCAATGGAGTTGCCACTGTCACTACTTGAATTAAGACACATGTGATTTTCTTTCTTTTTTAATGGGGAAACTACCCATAAACCTATTTTTATTAACTACTCATCTGATTATAATTATCATAATTGATTTTACAGTTTGGGGAGGGGGAGAGTAGAGCACCTACCAAGAGTTTTTAATACTTACCCAGACCTAGAAAAGGAAAAGCTATTCTATAATCACCACTTACTTAGAAATCTCATGTGGTGATAAGCATTTTTAGGCTAACGAAAAAAATGTAAATGTACATGTAACTATACCACTTTCTCCACTCTTCAATTTGTTTCAAATTTTTCATAATAAAAAAAATTTTAAGTGTAATTGATAAAAGCCCATAGGTCATCTGAACTATTTCATAATTAAATTAAAAAAAAAAAAGAAAAAACGGGAAAATGCTATAGGCGAACTACTTACCTCTTTAATTTTAGAAGCAAGTTCCTGCCTTTCTTTTGAAACTTGGGTAATTTTTTCATCTAATTCTTGCCTCTGGAAAAAATTATAATGCCAGCATTAAAACTGAACTAAGCATGGGCCGGCCGAGTGGCGCGATGGTTAAGAACTGGCTTGGGATGCCAGAGGGCCCCGGTTCGGATCCCACACATGAGGGCCAGTGACACTGCCCTC